AAAAATTGAAACTTGCATGAGCACACTGTTATCTCGATAACAAAATTTTTATCATCTTTCAGTGAGGGACTTCACTTATGAAAAGAATATAATTTCTAAGGGACCTAAAGAAACCACCAAGGCCAAAGGTAAATGCTGCTGCAGGCAGAGGCTAATCCTGTGGATAAATGATCTGATACCTGACAAAGATGGTGTACCTGACAAGTGTTAGTTTTCTTGAAGGATAAGCTGTACATGTTTTCCTATATGAATCTGATCTCACCGTAGCAGCCCCAGGTGGGCAGAACTGGCATCACTGCCACAAGTTCATTACTAAAGCAAACACTCACCTGCAGAGCAGATTTACTCAGCGCCATTGCCATATGCAGACCAGAAATGATCTCAATTGTCAACTCTAGTAAAGGGGAAGAGCCACTGGTGTACACAGTTTTTCTCCAAAGTAGACTGAAAGAATTCATTGCAGTAATCCAAATCAAACACAATGTCAAAAATACTACTCTATTCATGTTGCCAATTCCGTTCACTGCTGGCTCTGAACCCATTAGGAGAGAAAATACCTCAAATGAATTTGTAGCAATTAAGATATTTGCTAATATTTATGATCATTTTATTCGGCTAAGATTAACTCTTACGAACCAGTCAATCATCTGTTTTAAAGGTTTTCTAGAGTAAGCTGGAGACATAAATAAGCAACTACTGAGCAAATACCTCTACTGGAAATGGATGCTATTTGGTTGTAGGTTCTCTAGAGGTCTTTTCGTACATTCTGACTCATATCCTGAATATTCACCTGGTGGCCTTCATACACATTGTGACATCTAGCCTGAAGCTGTCTGCACTGCCATCTCCTCTCTCAGAAAGACATCCCACTTCAAATGCTGCTTCTTTGTGTCTTCCCTGATTATACGAAATGTGGCACAAAGTTCCACATGCCCACAACTTCCCGAACAAAAGCACTGAGAAGCAGATGCGATTCCCTTAATGAGAAATGAATATGGCTGTAGATTGGTCTTTCTGACCCTCTGATGCCAGGAGATTGTGAAAGGCAGAGGTTTTATGCACATGAGCACAGTCTGTGGACATGTGACAAACATTAATGTATCCAGCATGCTGATTAAATGAAGAGAGCTTTGGCTTTGAAGACAGGGTTCCTGGATTTGAATTCCAGCTCTGTCTATTACAAATTAGCTACATGACTTTGGGAAAATCACTTAACCTTCTGAGCCAGTTTCCTCGTCGATAAAGTGGGGAAAACCTACTTTATAAAGGCTACTGCTGAGAAGAAACTGAAAAAATCCTCATAAAGCATTTAGAACAGTTTCTAGAACATAATACACAATAAATGTTAGCTATTATTATTATAAATTAGATACACAGATGAAATAAGAATGGATATTTTAGTAAGTATATATACTATGGCATGCAGTTTCCCAGATTTTTGCTATATTCTGCTTTTGAAAGCAGTTCAAATGAGTGGTTTGCATTGTTTTGCAAACAGTTTAGAATGGTGTTATTCTGACTGGCTGAATGAGTATATTCAGCTATTACATGTTTTGAAAAATATGTGCCAACCAGGGCATTGCTTCACTCAAACTATGTGTATCTTCTACTCCTCGACGTAAGGGGAGACTACAGGAAGAGACTGTAACTAACGTCTTTGCCTTTAGGTTTTCACCCTCACAGTACAGCTTTCCCACTGATACTATTGTTCTTCTTTTCACACAAAAATGATCTTATTTTTTTCCTCCGCACTAGCTAATTTGGCTTATGGGAAAAAAAAATTAATTCTTCAACATGACCCTCAAGACCCCCACAATCTGGCCTTAGCCTATGTTTCCGATTTCTATTTGATGACTTTCTACCCCAAATTTCATACTCTTGCCAGACTCGATTATTCACCTAATTCACCATGTATTTTCATTTGCTTACTCATTCATTTATTCATTTCATTCAAATACTTTATGCTTACTTCCTATATGCCAGAAAGTTTGCTAGGTGTTAGAGAGTAAAGATTTAAAAAAAAAAAATGCGTGGGCTTAGCTTTAAAGGAGCTCACAATGTAGTGGAAAAGGTGTGTAAACAACTCATCATAAACCAGCAATGTGGTAAAATCTATAACAATGATGATTCGCCTATAAATTCCTGTTTGAACCCTTAGGAAGAAGCAATGACTTCTGCTAGGGAATCTGGACAATGTTTCACAGAAAAGGTGAACTTTATCTTTCGTGTTCAACAATTAGGAGATTAAGCATTCAATAGGCAGATAATAGAAAATGTTTACCAGGCCCAAATAAAATTAAATAAAACCTCAACTACATTAAAGTACCTATAACATCTAAGGAAAAGCAAGTACTTTAGTGGGTATAAAGTATGCCTGTGGGAAAAAAGGTGGTAAAAAGTTTGTGAGTAGACTGAAAACAGCGTGTATGCTGTGATGGACCAAGATGTCTTCCATTTTTGCTTTGTTTGCCCAGCAAGTATTTCCACCCCTCTTGTTTTCAAACAGACCTTTCCATCCTTGCTATAAAGCAAGTGTCTGATCCAGGCTTGGCCAGTCTAGGCAACAGTGGCTCAAATCATGTGCACCTTTATGAAGCAGGGCCAGGAATAAACCTTCCCTGAGATTGGCACAGTCATTTGAAGAAAGATGTGCACTTTTTCTGTTCATAGCTAAGCAAGGGCTGCCTATGATGAAGTTATCTGCTCAATAGAGAAGGCTAATTTGCATTTGTAAGGAATGAGCCCAACATGCAAAAAAAAGAGCAAGCATAGATGAGATAAAAATAGAAAAAGAATGAATCCCAGGGATGCTGGATTTCTGTTCCTGAAAGGGGATGAGGCCATGGTACCCTTCCTTCACTTCCACAAGGGACCTTTAACATCTCAGACACATGGGCCAATGAGTTCCTACTTAGTTGCAGTGAGTTTGAATTCAGTTTTTGCCATTTTCAATGGAAAGAGTCCTGATTGACACGTCAGCCATATTAAGAACTCTGTTTAAGGCCAGGCACGGTGGCTCACGCCTGTAATCCTACCACTCCAGGAGTCTGAGGTGGGAGGATTGCTGGAGGTCAGTTCAAGACCAGCCTAAACAAGAGTGAGACCCCCCATCTCTACCAAAAATAGAAAAAATTAGCCGGGTGTGGTGGTGCACACCTGTAGTCCCAGCTACTCAGGAGGCTGAGGCAGGAGGATCATTTCAGCCCAGGAATTTGAGGTTGCAGTGAGCTATGATCACACCATTGCACTCTACCTGGGGTGACAGAGTGAGATTCTGTCTCCAAAAAAACCACAAACGAACCAACAAAACACCTCTGTTTAACATGGTAAGGCAATAGGAGCCACTACAGAAAAATTTTAAGACACAAAATGTTTACAAGCAGGTGAGTGATAGATCAAAGTACACTAGAAAAAAAGACATTCTATAAAAAAGACACCTGCATTCGAATGATTTTAGCAGCACAATTCACAATGGGAAAGATGTAGGCACCCAAGTGCCCACCTGAGTGGATTAATAAAATGTGGTATATGTATATCATGGAATGCTACTCAGCCACAAAAAACAATGGTGAACTAATACCTCTTGTATTAACCTGGATGGAGCTGGAGCCCATTCTTCTAAGTGAAGTATCACAAGAATGGGAAAACGAACACATGTACTTACCATTAAATTACAACTAATCAATCAACACCTATGTGCACATATGGAAATAACATTCAATGGCAATCAAGCAGGTGGGAGGGGGGAGGAGGAGATGGGTAAAATCACACCTAACAGGTACAATGCACACTATCTGGGGGATGGGCATGGTACAAAAGCAATTTATATAACCAATGTATATAACCAAATCATTTGTATCCCAGTAATGTTCTGAAATAAACTTAAAAAAAACCACACCGGCCGGACGCTCACGCCTGTAATGCTAGCTCTCTGGGAGGCCGAGGCGGGCGGATTGTTTGAGCTCAGGAGTTCGAAACCAGCCTGAGCAAGAGCGAGACCCCGTCTCTACTAAAATTAGAAAGAAATTAATCGGACAACTAAAAATATATAGAAAAAATTAGCCGGGCATGGTGGCACATGCCTGTAGTCCCAGCTACTCAGGAGGCTGAGGCAGGAGGATCGCTTGAGCCCAGGAGTTTGAGGTTGCTGTGAGCGAGGATGACGCCACGGCACTCTAGCCCAGGCAACACGGTGAGACTCTGTCTCAAAAAAAAAAAACAAAAAAAAACCCACACCAATATTAAAAAAAAAAAATTGCATTAGAAAAGCAGTTCCAATGGGCAGTACAAAAGATGGACTCAAGGGAGACCATTTAGGCACTTTTTATGCATTTCACGAATTTGGTCTTTTACCTTTAGAGAATTTCTGAATACCAAAATAGTCCGACAAGGCCCAGTTCACTTGGCACCTCTTCTCTAGTGCCTTTCTGATCTCACTCAGATGGCATGAATAGCCCTTTGTTCCTCATTTCCGCAGCGCTGCACTTGTACCTCTGACATCCTGGTTCTCAAACTTCAGCGTCCATCAGAATCACCTCGAGGGCTTGTTAAAACTAGATTGCTGGGCCCTACCCTGAGAGTTTCTGATTTAGCAGGTCTGGGCTGGGACCTGAGACTTCTAACAAGCTCCAGGTGATTCTGATGCTGCTGGTCTAGTGGCCACCTTTGAGAACCACTGCTCTCACAGCTTTCCTTGTAGCTGTATTCTAGTTTGTTTGCTCACGTGTATCCCCTGCTAGATTAAATATTCCTTAAGGATTTTCTTGTTTATCTTTGTACAACCCTCAATAGCCAACATAATGCTCTACACTGTGTGATTAAGTGTGGAGATAAACACCTTATCATAATAAATTCTCTCAGTTACCATCCAAACAGAGTTTCTCAAAAAGTGAACTGTGTAACTAAAGAAAGGATCCAAAGGCAGAATATAACCTGCCTTCTTTTGGGCTGCCTAATTCTGATGACATCTTCTACCCGGGCAAGGTATAGGGTGGCGTTACCTTAGGCATCCGGTGACGTTGTAGAATATATCAAAATCGAGCAAACCATTTGCTTTGGGGTAGTCGCCTTCAGGCCATCCCGAGTAGGGGATGATGATATTCTCATTCAGGGTAAGCAAGGCTTCTGTGATCATGAGATTCTTGAGTTTGTCGTTAGAGGACAAATTCCACAACAAACCTAGAAAAGCAGAGAGTTACCATGAAAACAGTGCAGGGTGGGGTCAAAACGACAGCTAAAAAGTTCAGTTTAGGCCATCACCTCCAGGACTACGACTAGTTATAAAAAAAGGGGAAGGGGAGGGTGGAGATGGCTTCTTCCTCAACTGAAAGAGCTACCTAGAGCTCATTAGATGGCAGTAAAGGCTGATCCATAAAAATGATAAATATATAGCTTATGCTACAAAATCGTGCAGGCTTAAGTGAATCATGAATGTCAACGAAAGCCAGAAATATTTGAACATTTATTGCTGTTTCTCTCAAAAAGCTCTTCCACAAAGCTGACCTCATTGGGATAATAAACCTCTGGGTTTACCAACAGGGAGCTTTGCAACGGTCCTATTGTAACTAAGACTTCAACATTTTAAAAGTCATACTTTTTTCTCCTTTAGATAAAACATAGTCATATTTTTTCTCCTACAGAAATATCTTCTCCCCCACCTTTTTCCTCACTACCTGGAACTTTCACTTGACATTTTTTCTCCCAATAACAGCAGGAAGGGCCTGCAGAAAGCCTTTCCTACGTCTGTCAACAGGAGGCAGATCAACATCACCCCTTAATGTTTATTGACTCCTACCCAAGGACAGAGCTTATGTCCTCCAGCAAGTTATTCTGGCTACCTCACGCATCTCTTATATTATAGTTTGGCAGTGAAGGACAGACAAGAGTATTTTATCTACCTGCCAACTTGCATGGTCTAAGAACTAATCTAAAACTAGTACCACGTTTACTCATTTCGTTTTCTCTTTCCTCTGAATCTCCTACATTAAAGAGAAAGACCATATAAGCCCATGAGGAACAAATCGAGATAATAGCATACTGTATTTCCCAGGACACTTGTGACATAGAGAGTGAAGCTGGGTACTGAGGGAAAATGGCAAGAGGCATATGCATTTGATATTTGTTTTTCCTTCGATTACTTCTGATTTGGTGGAAGGAAGGCTATATACCTACTGCTCGCTATTCCAGTGACGCCCAGCAATTGTAAAGTCACCTTGGCATCTTTCATACCTCAATGGGTTACCCTAACTCAGTGTCACCTAGGACAGGGGAAAAGAGGAAAGACAGAAAGAAGGGATGACTCTTTCCTTTCTGCCCTTTCCTCCTCACTGTCTAGTCGATAATTCCCACTTCTTAAATTGACTGCGTTGTCTGTACAAAGGAAAGCGGACACACAGATACACAAGGAAGTCTACTTTATGAAAAAAGCAAACATGGTGGTCTTGGTGGAATTATGTGGTGATTATAATCTCTTCTGATTTTAATGATTGAAGTAATAGTCTGTACAGTTAGAGCTTGGTAATTATTCAACCATATTTGTGTTTGGCCCAAATCAATTAGAACACGACAGGCCTAATGCGGTCTTTAGGGCTTCAATAGTTTGCTTTGGCTGTGTGTAAGTATCTTATTTTTGAAACAGTAACCATGTCTGCATGGCAGTGTACACACAGCTTCCATTAGAAACAGTGACCCTGGATCTGGTATCTTGTGAGGACTAGCTTTCTGGCTTAGGGGGAGGTCTTTCCTCAATCAAACTAGCATTTGGGGTTAGTCATGAGCAGCATCTCTCAGCTACAGGTTTTGCAACACAATGACTTCATTCCTCCCACTTCTTCTGAAGAGGCCCTGGAAGCCGGACAGAGAGAATAAAACTCAGAAGGTGGTTGAAAACAATTTAAAGGCAGGTCTGAGGTTGAGTTTTGGTTACTAAGCTACAAAAGAAAGTCAGAAAGAAAAGCTTCCTGAGTTCTAAATAAGCAAACAAATTAACAGTCTCTGCCTTCCAGAAGTTTAAAAATGTGAAGCATAATCATGTTTCAACTCTTTTTAAAAAGGACCACACAGGGCACTCAAAGGAAAAGTACACCTTACAATAAAAACCAGAGAGGATTAATTTGAACAAAGGGAGTGGAGTTTTCCGTCAACAGTCAATATCCTTTAGAGCTTGGCATGCTATATTATTTCTACATAAGTATATGGTTGGGGTAGTTTTACCATAATTTTTGAGTTTTTAATGTAGGATATTTTATCAAAATGTCATGCCTGTCAAACTTCTGGGTAGCAAGAATCTGGGGGAAAAAACTAAAATATTCAATAGAGATTCGGGATTATATATGGTATATATGCATACACCCTCACATACTCATATAAAATCAGTAGTAACCAACTACAAATTGGGAAAATGTGTATAATAATATGAGACAAAGGGATAATACTCTTCATATATAGAGTTCTTACGCATCATTAAAAAATGAAACATTAGTAGAAAAATTGGGAAAGTACTTAATACAAAACCAAAAGATATTAGGGGCTGATGTACGTAGGAATGCATGTTCTCTAGTAACTTAGAAACACAAACTTAAAAAACAGCGGGATGTAAGTTTCAGTGACTATAGGAGGCAAAACCAGAATCAACAAGTGAAAATTACAAGGAAGGAGATTTTGGCTCACTGAATGGATAAACTTCTAAGAGAGCTTTGAAGAAAACCAAAAGACTTAACTTGTAAGATCCAGCTCTATCACTGAAGCGAATAAAAATTAGCTTATCCTTTACTAAAATGTTGACAAGGGGTTTTATCCTGAAATTAGAGTGTTGGACTAGATGAGCGGTTTCCAAATGAGCCCAGTGACAAATCAGAGTCACACAGTCTTGGGCCATACCTCAAATTTACTGAGCCAGAATCTCAGGTCGGATTCTAGGAATTCATATTTTTTAAATGATTTTTTAATGATTCCAATTTCTGGCATTATGAAACCAAGGGACTAGACGACTGTGAATAGATGTCTCTTTCAATGATCAGATTCTACATTCCCCTAAATATTAGATTTTCATTTCTCACCTTTAACTTTTAGTCAATTTATTCATAGTACCTAAATACCTATTATTATAGTTCTTTGTTGCAGCTGGTCTGCCTGTAATTTTCTACCATGAGGCTCTCATTCTAGCCAAAAAGAAAGGGAACTGGATTCTGTTAAGGAAGGGGCCCCCAACCTATGTTAAGTTCTATAATTATTTCATTATATGTTACAATGTGATAATAATAGAAGTGCACAAAAAAAGTAATGTGTTTGAATCATCCCAAAACCATCCCCCATCCCACCTCCCACCCTGTGCAAAAATTATCTTCCATGAATATAGTCCCTTGTGCCAAAAAAGTTGGGGACCACTGTGTAAAGGGATATAATTTGAATAATTATCAATTATAAGAGAAATAACGATAACTACATTATCCAGAAATATACTGCCAAATGTGATGTTTGCAAAAAATAGCTAACTAGTAAAGGGGTCTTAGATATTAAAATCCACATTTAATAATATTGCCCTTCAGGACAGGAAATACAGTCGTTTAACTAAATCTGCATTAACACTTAGGTAGCAAAACTGACCAATTTTATGACTAAATAAACCCCTATCTTCAGTGAAAAAGAATGAGGAGGAGGAGGAAAAAATAACGGCAATGACAAATACAACAAGGACAACAAGAAAGAGAACTGGTTCTTTTTAACTTTGTTTTTTTTTTTTTATTTCAGCACGTTATGGGGGTACAGAGGATTAGGTTACGTATGATGCCCTTACCCTCCCTCCCCCCCAAGTCCGAGCTTCAAGTGTGTCCATTCCCCCGGAGGTGCGCATC